TTGGTTGATTGTGTGTCATGAGTGTGGATCAATGCTCCCAATATCAATCACTGGGTTGATGATTCAGATATGATGATTCACAGGCCGCCTTCATATCAGTGGAATGATGCTGGATACAACAAACAAACACATGAGCAATAATATAATACAGCTCGGCAATATACATAATTTTTGTTACTCTGTCCATGCATAAGCCGTCACATATAGTTTGTGTTCTATTTCCTGTTCCTGACAGCCAAATTTCATTACAAAGGGTCCCAGTCACAAATATATTGACCCCTGTAAATGCCTGTCAAAGTCACAGGCATGCATCTCATAAGCAGTTAAAACAATGTCCTGTCTTCCAACTACAGATACAACAACTGACACAGGAGGCGAAGGAGTTGAAGACACAGACCCGGCGCCTGGAGGGGGAGAAGGGGGCTCTGAGGGCCAGTCTACAGAGGCTGGAGGCCACGCTGGACACTGTCCAGACTGAGAAGAAAGAGCTGATGCATCACAGGGACACCGTCGTCCGTGAGAAGAAGAAGCTGGAGGCCATGAGCAAGAAGTTCTTCAACTCGGGATCATTGTTTGATTAGAGATGGGTGGCAGGCTAGACTCATGGTTCAGATGTTTGCCCATTTCTCCAGCCTCCAGCTCCTTTGAATGGGTACAATGTGGGAAGCAAAACTTAGCGGCCCTGTTGAGAAGCTGGAATAATGCATATATCTAGAATCATATCCATTTACTCACTGACACCAGTTTAATTGATTGTGTACTAAATAAACAACAATGGTAAAGTTAAAGGAGACACAGAATTGGTTCCCAGGCGTTGATTTCCTAACCTAATCAGCCTGATTCAGACTTCAAAATGAACCATGAAAGCCATGAAAATGTGACCCTACTGTTAAAGTTAGGAATTTAGGGATCCAAAGATGCAGACACTGTTGTGTCTCAAGAAACAAGCAAGTGCTATGGTGGCCTGTAGCAGAACAGGTAGGTTGTAAAGCCATTCTGACTGCACATTCAGGTGTTAGCTATTCCAGTCCACAATTGTTCTCACTGAGATTGGTGGCTATACTGAATTGTGGTAGCCTGGGACACCTGATATCCTTTTGAGTAATTTCTGGTGAATCTCTCTACAGATTTACTTAATGTGAAACAAGCAAACTGAAAACTAATTGGCTGTAGTCGCCATTGTTATGACTTTTCTGAAACTGAAGAAACGTTTCCATGCTTAGTCAAGGTACCTTTTAAGTGCACTGAGCAATGTGCAACAGACTCATCCTAGGGTAACATACTCCACTCTGATTATTTGTATACCTAGGGTACATATTTGTAGTACCCATGCCAACACTGACCTTCCATCAAAACTATGTAGCCTTGAACAGACTGTCAGGGTGCCATGCTGTTAGTTAGGTAGTTCTGTGGTCAGATGTCTGGAATGAACTCTTCAACCGCTTTGGATAAGTAGGATGGTGTGAATATATTTGTCGTTTTTCTAATTCAAGAAGACCTAACTTCTACAGTATAGAGGTACCACAACCTTCAGTACAAGAGATGCAGTGTTTTCCACTGATGAATCTGGAAGCTGTTCTATATTATGGATTCAAGATCCTGACTTATTTCACTATATATGCTGTCTGTGGGCATGTTCTTTGCTAGAAACATAGATATGATACAAGAAACCAAGGATACAATGAGTTTGAGTTTTCTCACATCAGACTACCTTGGATTTGCAATCCTGGATATGGACACTTGATCATGTTGGATCTAATAATTATGATGTGATCCATTCCTTATACACAAAGTATAGCATTCCTTTGCGTAAAATGCATACCCCAGCTCGGCACCCACTGTTACTTACATGGTCTTTTTGCAAAAGGATTTCCACTACAATTACAAGAGTGGGGGCTCCAGGGGGAACCCATTAATAAATTCTGAGGATCATTGCAAGCATTACTTTAAATCAATAATGGTATAGTGTACTGTGTCTTTTGGCATTATTACTTTAAATGAATTCATGATCATGTAGCCAGTGGTTGTGACAGGTGGATGAAGTGACAGACATCTATAAGTGCTCTAGATGTGCTGGGTAATTTGAATATTATTACAGCTTGTTCATCTTGACCTGATCAAGTGAATACTAATGCATTGCGTGACCGTGTCACAGCTGGTTGGGTCCATTATTGTGAAGGGGTGCACCTTTGTCAGTTCATTGTCAACAGCCGAGACAAGGTCGCCGTTTGACATCTCAGTGTCGAGAAATCGTCAGCAATGTCCTAACTTTCTTTAAAAAGGAAGCTAGAGATGGTTTAATGTTTCCAATCCGGGCTTTTAGGCATTAATAACATTCTCTGCTCCCCTTTTTAATGAAGTTAATTTGACCTGCCATTTGTGACTTTTGACCTCCCGGGTCATGCATATGTAAAGTAGCTCAGGTCAAGCTAAACAAGCTGTATTTGTCCTTCAGGTTGTAATATATTCATTTTCTCAACATTTGGATGGACATTTGTGCATTGTGGTAAAAACCTGCCAGTGATGATGCTTTTGGGATCAAACGGATATGTTGAGCAGACAGGAAATGTTCAATGATAAGAGATGCCTCTCTGCCTGGGAACCAAAAATCTTTTTACCTTTAGGACAAAAATACTATCTGTACATATTTACATACATTCATGAAGAAATAAACTATTTATTACCAATGGGTGAAGGTATTAGAATTATTAGAACATTCTGAACTAATTTGTAATCCTACTTCCATATACTGAACACAAAAAGAAGTCTATTATCGGTATATCACATGGAGCAGCTAATCCCAGCCATTGCTGTCATGATAAGTAATACAAACAACTGAATGTGCTGAAAACAGCAACAGAAACTATATCATTAAGTTATTTAGGGAAATGGGTTATTTCTATTTGTACTTGCATATACCCTATTGTTATGTAAGTATCGTTTTATTAATCAGGATATAGTCTTAACTGTCTTCATGATTGATCTGCTTCATGGTGTTGTAATCATTTTCTCTGCCATATAGCTGGAATACTGCTGAGTGCGGAGTAAAACTCAACTCACTCACTCACTTTACACAATGTAAAATGTAGATGAATTTTACTGGTAACAGTGTTCCTCGACATGCCTTATGTGATTCCTTCAACAATGTTACTGAATAGGGGGTAGATAATTGAGGTATCTGAGGTACCATAATGAGTCTAAACACAATTACTGTCTTCAAGTTGTTCACTGCTCAATTACTTTAGTCTCCAGTAGAATGTTGTCCCAATGTCACAGGACACTCAGTTCCCATATTCTCCCATTCCACCCCCACAGTCTCATAAAGTAAGGAAAATAGGTAAAAATGAACACATCTCAATGTATTCTTCTTTAAATAGAGAATACCAGAGGTTATATTTAAAAAAGTTCTCAGAATAAAAAGTTACTCTTAAGTGAAGAGAATACTGAGAAATTTCTATCGACCTAAGAGTATTCTTTCCGAGAACTTGAACTTTTATAAATACGGCCTCTGGTATTCTTTATTTAAAGAATACGTTGAGATGTGTGCTAAAGCCCCAGAATTCCAGGATAGGTAATTACTGCCTCTCCACTGCCTGCAGTGAATGAATCACTTTATATGTACTTGATAGAGGCAGTTCAGGCACCTTAAAATGTTGTCTGTACTAATACAGGAACATTTGTTACAGCTTCAGAATGAAGTAGGTGCACAACCATGTATACCCACAACAACTAAGTAAATAAATCTCGCAGACTCCAACTTGCACTAAAAACTATTATCTTACACACTGAAAATGTTCCATACAAGATATGTGAAATCTGTTTAAACAATTCTTTTCGAGACATAACTGTGTGTATTTAACATATTTTAATTATGTAGTAGTATATGTCTGTCACTCACATGTGTGATTGACAGGTGGGGAAAGTTTAACTTCAAGACACTTCACCCTGTTTTGGTGCAAACACCTGGGACTTTGAAAGTATTCTGATATACATACACTCTAATGATTGTACATAATCATACTTTACAATCAACTCTGAAACTATAATGGTGTTTGACAAGGTATTTTAAACTTTCTTCTTGCTTGATATATATGTAAATTCCATAAAAAAAGACATTGTTAGTTTTGTCCAGGAATAAATCACTTTATTAACCCCTCATAGTTTTGTTATATTTTATTAATACATAACTTTAGAGTTGGTTCTCCTGAAAGCTTTTCCTGGGACCGTCATACAATTCAGTTTGAGCTCCACAGACCTTGTAGTTGTCGAGGTGACATAATAGTGCAATAATAGTAGAAACACCTATATATTTACATACATATTTACATCATACATGACACCAATGATTTCAGTTCAGGTAGAATATATGTAAGTTTTATAGAAACATAAAACTCCATTTGAATTGCAAAGCAGCTGACCAGTGAGATGAGAATGACTGGAACCTGAAGAAATCTAGACTTGCATCATTGTAGAAAGGGTTGGCCAGAAGGGGACGTAATGTGTTTCAGGGACTGTGAAACATTCAATCCAAGCTACATGTACCAGCAATACCTGCTAAATGTCAACTGGTACAGTGACATCACTTGTGGCTTTTCCTAATTTGCAGATAACACTGCATGCTTATGCTTACAATGTCACTTTAACGTTTCTTCAAACATGAAGTCATCATTGATCAACTAGCATTTGAATATGTCCTATTTTCCATTTCCTGCTTTTCATTTACAAGAAGCAGGAGGATGCATGACAAGCAGAATTATGTTTGTTTGAGCCATGTCTAAAATTGGATTGGAAGTCTATGAACAATTTTAGAGACACCAAAGCTGGATAAAGTTTCAACTTCTTGGTTTCTCATGGAAGATGTAGAAAATGTAAAAGTGATGGACAACAGACAGACATACTGTGCACCACACAACATAAGCCTTCTGAAAACTGAATAATATTTTATGCAATCGAAAAGCAGAAAATATGACAACCCACTTTATGTGATTTTGTCTACTCACCATTTTTCTCCAGCCTCTCCTGGCTGTTACTTAACTGCTGGAAGTGCACTGTCATACTTCTCAGCCGTTGTTCAAGGGCAGATAACTCTCCCAGTTGCTGATCCGAGGAGCTGAGATGGGACTGCAGCTTGTGCTCCTGTTCTCGCAGGCTTTTCTCCAGAGAATACTTTGACAGCTGCAAAAACATCAATTCAAAACCATGTACAGAACATGTTTCACTGAGTGAGTGAGTGAGTGAGTGAGTGAGAGTGAGTGTGATCTTACACCTCTTTTAGCATTATTCCACCAATATCAAGGAAGGGTGTACAAAATATGTACTTCACACATTGTAGTGAATCAAACCCTAAGACGTTCAGTGAGACAAAGGAATGCTTTGACCACTCAACTATCTTACCACCTCTCTTCAAACTGGATATTCTATGTAGACACAGATTGTAGTTAAAGTTATCAGGGGGCAGTGGGGTAGCCGATTGGTTAAAGCATTCACTTGTCATGCCAAAGACCCGGGTTTGATTCCCCACATGGGTACAATGTGTGAAGCCCATTTCTGGGGTCCTCCACAGTGATGTTGCTGGAATATTGCTGAAAGTGGTGTAAAAACCAAACTCACTCACCCACTCACTAAAGTTATCAGCCATACACTACTCGTTACTGACGCTTCTAATATAATGCTTTATACTAATTTTAATATTACTGCATTCACAAAAAAAATTGTTCACAATGTCAAATCTATAACAATGGAAGCTTCCATTTGCTTGCCTACCTGAAGTGAACGAACACTGTCCTTCAATGATTCTGTCTCTTTCTCACCACACTTTCTATAGACTTTTAGTTGTTTCTGAAAAAAATCACCTTTCAGTAGACATACATTTTCTGTATCACCTGCCAACCATAGGTAAAGAGGTCTATGGCAAATTTCTGATATGGATGTGAAACAGGTGCTCACGAATGGAATGTTGTGAGTCAGGTAAGTGCAGCATGTGATATAAGTCTATACCCCAACAAGTTCTCTGCACTCTGTGTGTGTGGTCCTGGTGTACTCTCAGGAACACTGACTCTGTGGTTTACATGTCCTTTGTGGACTTATAACAGTCAGTATTCAGTTATCATACACAAAATGCAGGATTGGGTGGTCAGACTCGCTGACTTTGTCAACACATGTCTTCGTATACCAATTGCTTAGATTGATGCTCATTATGTTGATCAATGGCTTATTTGATCCAGACTCGATGATTTACAACCGCTCTCTTATAGCTGGATCATTGCTGAGTGCAGTGTTAAACACCAAACAAACATAAACAGCGTATATAATTCTCACATTCTCCTCCTCCAAGAGCCTCATCTTCTCCTGCAAGTTTCGCTCCAAGTCGGACATATGCCGCTGATGCTGTTCTCTGATAGTAGACAGCTGCCCAACCTCTGCATCCTGGATACACATACAATACTCACACTACTAACTGGAAACAGTTGAGATTTTTCAATGATTATTAAACAAAACTGGCTTATTTAATCAATAAATCATTCTTAACATTCAGTATTTTTTCAGTATATTGAAAGCACATTCAAAACATGTCTAACATGATGTGGAAAATTCAGCCTTATTCCACAGATCTTTGGTGCATTGCATATTGATGATGTATTGTAGATAACCTTTCAAAGGAATATTTGAATTTTTATGTTAAAAACGTGATAAAAAGCATGTTGCTCATTAAATCAATTAGTGATTGAGTGTGGTTTTAAGCCGCTTTAACCATAAGGCTACAACACCATCCCTCAAATCAATGAACACATTATACAGACATCAATCGCAATTCCGAATATTAATCACACCATATATCATCCATAACTAACGCATATGCCTGATGTAAACTCATAACATTATTCTTACACTCATATATTAGTATATCACACTATGGATATCCTAATTTGTACCACTTTCAAACCATCTGTCATGAGAACATATTATCTTACCATACATATCAAACTTAAATGTCAGGGATACATGAAAACACTTTCCTTGCTTTTATGCCAAAATACATGAATACTCAGCATTTTCTATCATTCATATCCTGTATCTTGTGATAACACAAATATTCAAAGTATTAAAAATAAGTGAGTCCCTCAACTCAAACTAGTTTCAAACTTTATTTACCATAACACTGTAAACATCATTCCAACACCTGTATCTTGTGATAACACAAATATTCAAAGTTGGAAAATTAGTGAGTCCCTAAACTCAAATACTTCAGAAAACTAGTTTCAAACTTTATTTACCATAACACTGAAACATCATTCCAACACCTGTATCTTGTGATAACACAAATATTCAAAGTTGGAAAATTAGTGAGTCTTCCACAGATATATACTGTTATTACCAGTTAAATGAAACACAATTTGTCAAATACCATATAAATATTTATATATATATATACAATAATAAATTACGTTTTCATGAGCTATATCAATCACTAAAGTGCATATCTTAACAATGTTCCAAAACATAATTTACCACAACACAAACATAATGCCGACACCAGATGTACATTGCTAACCAAATGTACTGCTGTACTTACACATCTCCTCTCCAGCTGATACTTCTCATTGACCAACAGCTTGATCCTCTCCTCGCTCTCTGCATCATTGCCCTACAGAAACATACCTGCTGTTGTGTATCATTGCACAGATTTATCTAGGATTTAAAACTAAATGCCTGTGTCAAGTAAACTGCTATTTTATTAAAAATTTTGATTTACACAAATTTCCTGTTTTCTTTGTTCTTGGAGGTATTCAACATTGTAGTTAAGCATTGCATTCAAAGCAATACGATAAGATCAATCTTTCAAGCCTCTTCATTGGCCTTGTCATGAGCTAAATACAAGATACCATGTGTGAAGCACACATATTTCAGCATTAAAAACCAGCATGTTTGCAACCTGAAGACATGGAATATCTATAACATATAACATGTAGAAGGCCATTCCTTTAAAACTAATCTTCTGTCAGCTCTAAGAATATTTTAACACTTCACAAACTTAATCCGACTTGTGTAAATTTGTATCCCTATCTTTTCATATGAAAGATCAAAATATTATGATAATGAAATAAACAGACCTATGTTGTGACATGTTTGAATGCTCAGAATCTGTAGAATTACATTATACTATCATGAAACATATGAACACCAATGAAATTATCATGTTACACTAGAGTCATGTAATATTATGCACACTGTACCCTTCGCAATTTGACCTCCTCAATGATCTCCACCAAGCAGTTTCTTAAATGATAGAACTCTGCATTGCTGAACACTTCGCTGCCACCAAGACATATTTGCTCATCTGTTTCTAGCTTCTCCATTGTAACTTGCTGCTAACCATCTTTTTACAAGCCCTGCAACAGAGCATTCATTTATTTCAGAATCAGATGTCAGTATATTTGCACTAGAAATGCGGACATGAAGAAGCATTGGCGTGTGTGAAATCAAGCATGGATTGGAAGTCCTGCATCCTTGTTACGATCTTTATGTTTTAATAGTTAGGGTAAAACCTTTAAGGGCTCCAATGAATCAAATACTATATGAGAATAGGACCACAAGGATACCTCAATTGTGAGCACTGCAGTCATGAAGGCCATTCATTTGAATGGACATGAAAGTTAAAAGGGCATAAACAAGACAAAAAGAGTATGGTTTTATCAAGAATATATATAACTGATAAACATATTAAAAACTTATATAGATGCTTTGAATGTGCATGTGAATATGGATTTCAATAAGTGAATTAATTCACAGGCTAAAAGGGACTTTTTTATAAATAACTGTATCATTTGCAAATCTCTGCTGAATTTATTGTGTCATCAAATCTCGTTTGTAACGCCACATGAAGGTATTCCAAATATGATCGACATTCTTGCCACCTCCATTTCCATTATCCTACAGCAATGTACGTAAATCACAAATGCGGCTGTGATTGATTGAGAAGTTTGGAAGAAAAGGCAGATGAGTCGTCTACGTAAACTAACTAGGTTTATCTACACAAGACAGGAACTATGAGTATCTATGCACTATCTTCTGCCGTGATTCTTGTGAACTTTTTTTCTACACTCAAAGCTCAACATTCATTTGGGTGTCAATATCAGTAAATAATACGAATATTATTAAATAGCAATAATGGTTTGGCGGAAATATTTAAACAATTCTATATTAAGCAGCATCCACCTGTTATGTTATATATGTAATAGTCAGTGTTGAATATTTATATTTTCCCGCTTGTACTTCTTTTCAATGTTTACTTACACAGTTCGAAACATAATAACCTGACACGACCGATAAAGTGCATGACACGTTTAACACCGAAACACATGTACACTAAGGGAGAATAACTGGAAAGAGAGATTTTCTCAAATCGTATTATTAAATTACATAAATAACGTAGTACATAAACCCCAATCGTTTTCCTAGTTCAACGTTACTTTCATGTTAATATTAGTCCGGGTTTTACCAGAACCGGAAGAATGAAGAGAATACACTTAATAAGACCTATTACATTTAATGGAAATACCAACACCGATTTTCAATATACACAGTGATATCTTCTCCCAAATATATACTATAATACAACAAGTTCAAGTAAATATTTTGTATCAAATAGACAGAATATTTTTAGTCACATTATCTAAATGTCTATATTCTGCTCAGACACCTAATGATTAGTTTGCGAGAAACTAGTTTCTAATGAATTTCACAAGCGGACGACATTTCCTGTCGCAATAGTTTATTTTTAGTTTTGGTTGTAATTCTGCTTATAAAAGTTTATTCTGTAACGGCAATATCATAAAACGTAAAGTCAAGTCGGAAACGTTTGGAGAAAGCTTATCCTGTGAATTTTGTTTTAAAAAATATCGGTTTAGAACAGATCTTTCTACCGTGGATTTTGTAAATCAGCCAGTTTTCACTACCGTTTCATCTATCAACATTCAAGCAAGGTATAGTCTAAATAATAGCATCTCTTTATTTGAATTGTTACTTTGTTATGTTAGTGCTGTCAGTCATACTTGCTTATTAGCTGGGATGATACTGATCAAGCTTTTAGTTTCAGATCTTTTGTTTTCTGGAACCGTGACTGATTGTTATAAAAATATCCAATTGTCACCTCAAGAGCTTGTAAAAAAAATAACAGCAAGATATCTGGTCACTACATGTGGTTTGTACACAAGCTTAACCTACTTACCCGCCAAAATGTAGAATAATTTTGGGGTATAAATCATCATCTGCCCTGTCTTAATTTCTCAAAAGTACACTAAATGTCTGAAATTAGGTATACGAAAATACTATATAAACATGATAAAGGAAATTAAATTTCTGAAGTAATTCTGACAATGGAGGTAAAAACAGCCACTAAGATGTAATAGTTGTTCTAACTCTGCGGCCTAGTGAGTGACGTAAATAAGGTCATGCGAAACCCCTTGTCAAATATTCACTAAATACACTAACCCCTTTTGACCTTTTCCGTTAGAGACCATATATCTTTGCTGCTACTTTTACATTACGTCATGTAAAACAGGGTAGAATTCAATTTGAATAGTACATGATATATTTGAGTGTCTCTAACAAAAACAGTTTTTTTTGCAGCAAGCAGCAAGCATCACCAGTCATATCAAAAGCTATGGAAGGAACAGTTTCTGAGAATCCAATCCCAACCCAAACCATCACCCCATCCACTAATCCCTGGGCAAAGAAGTCAACTCCATGGGGTAAGAGCCCTCCAGTTGTGGCCTGCTCTCTGGAAGAAGTGATGAGTGAGCAGCTGGCAGCTGATCTTCAGGACAAGGAAGGATGGCCCGAGTTGGGTCCTGTGAAGAAAGAACAGAAAGTTAAAGGGTGAGAGGATTGCTGGACGCATCATAGCGATGGCATCAATAAGCCCAAAACAAACTGATTTGTCATTTCACAATCTGTTACTGGTTCATATATCAGCAGGCAGCATTTTCATTATGAATATAAAAACAGACAACCAGTAACAGTAACGTTGAAATCTATCTGAACTGTATACCAGCAGTTTTAAACGTTACTATTTATTATGCAGATTTTCTTCTAACCTTTGAATATATCGTTTATGCATATTGATTGATAGCAGTGTCCAGTCTGATATGCTTTAATGTAGGGGTATCTGTAACAAATGGCCATACACTCATCATGAAATATAAGGGTGATTTCAGTTTGTAATTTTGGCTGTGTTTTAGACAAGAAGCTGCTGCAGCTGCTGTTCCTGATATGACTGAAGATGAAGTGACAGAGATCCTGGCAGCTGCTGGCATAGCTACAGACAAGGAGGGTACAAGTGATGAACTAATTGCCCGCATGATGCAGCTGGAGTTTGACAGAGAACATAACAAAATGCTTCAAAAAGAGCAGGAAAAATTTAATGGAACTAACAAAGGTAAGAGTAGCCATGACCTTGCAGTGTTCAAAATACTTTGCTTTGACTTGAGTGTTGCGTATGCTAGTCTCTACCTACAATGTCATAGCCTAACTCATTCGATGCATCTTATGGCCATTCAAAAATGTAGGCATTTTCAGAATGTTTTAATTTGGGAGGAATCACACCAATTTCTTATTGAATGAATAAGAATATCAAATATCTGAAGTATATTCTTCTCACTTATTTGATGAAGGAAATTGCAAACTGTATTTGAATATTTCAGTTCAAATAACATTTGACAACTATAAGACAAGACATCCAGTATATGAGGATGAGGAAGAGGAGGATAGTGATGAATATGGAGACCCACCAGAGAAAAATAACTGGGGTAAGTGACTGAGATTGTTCATGTTGATGATGTAGGGGTTGTGTGGTAGCCTTATGGATAAAGCGTCCAACTGTCACTGAAGACCTGGGTCGATTCCGCTCATGGGTACAATGTGTGAAGCCCATTTCTAGTGTCCTACGCCGTGATATGCTGGAATATTGGTCTTAAGTGGCGTAAAACCTCACTCACTCACTCACTCATTGTTATCACTTGATAGTTCCCCACCCCACTCCTGTAAAGTGTAATCTGGTTGTTTGTGCTAGGTGTATAGTTATTAGTTTCATTTTGTTGCAGATAAGAAAAGTCCTAAAATTGGCCCCAAAGGTTACACAGGCACAGGGAAGAACATCACCACTAAGCATGACAAGGCAATCTGTGGCAGGCGCAATGCTGAGAAGATGATGATGGTAGGAAGTTCTGCCAAGTTTTGTTTTGTTTAACATCAGGGCTGAGCATATCTTACATGTCAGCATCTGTTATATGGTGGGTTCAGCTACAGTTTTACCCTCATTGGTAAATACATAACTCTGCTGATATAGAATTATACGTTTGTGTTAAGTCAATGTAAAAATCTGCAAAAACACTTGGATACACACCATTGCATACTGAAATATTTGTCAGTGACCTGGCCCATCTAACTTATAATTTCCTCCATATAGTTGGAATATGGCTGAGTGCGGCATAAAACTAAAGTCACTCACTTGCTCTAATTTCCTACTTTTGATTTCATGGAAGTTAGATCACATGTCAAGCAGTTTATGATGATGCTTGTCAACAAAACTGCTACCAGATTCTACTTCATTGAATTTATAAGTCTACAGTCTTGGTGTCCTTAAATTGCTGACAAGATTTTTAGTTCACATTACTTCTAACACATTTCAGGCCTCAGATTGACAGTTCCATTGATAAAACAAGGGTGAAAAATCAGCCTCAGAATTATGTGTTGCTTTGTCATTTGTCCTGTGTCTTCCAACTGACATCTTCTCTGTGATTGTTTGTCAGTTCCCACCAGGTTTCGGGTCTGGAGATGGTGAGGGCATGGACATGCAGCTGCCCAACCATGTGTACAACAAGTTGAAGGCTCACTCACAGAAGGAGGACAAGCACAGAGAGAAGCTGCATGAAAAGAAGGAGCACTCTACTGCTGTATGTATGCTTATGCTCTTATACTCATACACTTAGGACAAATATGTCAAATTATGTAACTTCTGTATGGATGTTGAGTATATTGTTTATATCCAATTTCGTTTTAGGTTTGGTTCCGTAATTTGGCATATTGAGAGTTAGCTCCCTTGATTTTTGGTTGTTTTTTGGTGATTTCACGAAAGCCAACGATTGTGTGTCTCTCGTCATGGGGAAAACTTTTTCATCACACCTATCTCAATGATCTATATTAAACACAGTGATGTACAAACATTTCCCGACGATAAAGACCTGAAACTTCAAACGACAGAAAGTCTTTTGTTCTATTAACAACAATGGATTCTGATTGAATAGTTCCGTGGTATTAAGACAGTACTCATACTCATGATACTTGTGAGAGCCAACACCAGTCAAGCTTTGTGACTTTGTTCTCCAAGCCCTGATGGTCTTGCTTGTTGCTTATACCTTCAGTCAAAGGTTAGCCTGGTCCAGATTGAATTACTTGCAGCCCTGATTGATATGGCTGTCAAACAAATATTAACTAACCCACCATTCCTATCTATGTAGGAGGAGAATATTTTCTCTTACAAACCAAATAAAGGCTACAGGAATTCCTTTTTCAATTTCAGTTTATTCTTAATATTGTCAAAAAGTTAATAAAGTAACCGAGATTTCATCAGAACATTCAGTAATGTACCTCTTTCCTATTCACTGTCTTCAGTGTGCAAGATTCTTTTTCATAATAACATTAACCCGTTAAGATCCTGGTTAGAATTGGTCTTCAGAAACCCATGCTAATCATGAGACAAATAACATGATCAGTCAGTCAGGCTCACTGATTTGGTTGACACATGTCATCGTATCACAATTGCGTAGATCAATGCTCATGATGTTGATCACTGGATTATCTGGTCCAGACACTATTATTTACAGACCACTACCATATAGCTGGAATATTGCTAAGTGTGGTGTTAAACAATTATCAAGAGTCTTTGTCATGCTCTGCAATTTGTATATTCATGTCTGATACAAAAGTTGTTTGGTAATATCTGTCCCAGTATTGGTTTGTTGGTATATATATGTATGTATTCCATGTTACAGGAGCACGCTGTAGATCCCCGGACTCGACTACTCATGTACAAGCTGGTCAACAACGGATGGTTGGATTCTATATCTGGCACCATCAGTGGGGGGAAGGAGTCTGTCGTCTTCCATGCATTTGGTGGCAGGTTAGTGGTGCTATTATGAATATTTATATCAAACATCTTTTCCATGATGATGTATGTATAGGTTGAGTATTGTAGTAACAGGTACTGAAATACTGTAATGATAATTTGTATTGAAAAGGGTACCAGTGGATAATATTGGACGATATTTGACAGGAACGATAGAACGTTATGGGTAATAATAACCTTCAACATGTGGAAGTAATGAAATACTAAATAACTGTTTAGTCTGATTAATGTTAATGTGTCTGTTTTAGTGTGGAGGGAAAGGATATACCAAAGGAGTGTGCTATAAAAGTGTTTAAAACTACACTGAATGAGTTCAAGAATCGGGAACAGTATGTCCACGGAGACCCCAGGTTTTTCAAAGATGACTTCAAGAAACAGAACCCACGGAAGATAATGAAACTGTGGGCCAACAAAGAAGCTTTCAATCTCAACAGGTAATATTATAGTCTGTTGTACTTTTATGTTAGATTTGAAAAATTGTAACCGCTGCATAAAATAAGGGGAAGTAACTCCCATATTAAGGTTGGTATGAATTGCATTTACCACTTCTTTCCATGTTCATGTATTATGTTTATAGAATATGGATAATGTTTGTATTATTCTTTCTAACATGTCATATAATGGGGATTATCATGAAAAATGTTATCTAATAGACTTTGTGAGGATTGTGTGTTATGCAACATGTATATTGAATTATACTTAAAGTAAAGATTTCCACATTCTCCAGGATGAAGAAGTTTGATCTCCCCTGTCCCCATGTTGTGGTAAGGAAACAGCATGTTCTCGTCATGTCTTTCATTGGAGACGATGGAATATCAGCTCCTAAACTCAAGGATGCAAGACTGTCATCTGCAGACTTGGAAGATGCATATGCACAAACAAAGAAGGTAATATTTCTTACTTAATATCTTAATATTTCTTACTGTATTTATTGCTTGATAAAGTATGGCTAAAGAAGTTATTGGAATATCAGGAGCTGAAACTGTTAGGCCACATTTAGGTCTAAATTTATTGCACATTATGGAAATATGGCCACCAATTCGTTTAGTAGCTTCAGATAGCTAAAGAGTACTGATGCAGCTTGATGTATTAAACACTCCTTTCTCAAACTGTGTCATAGTGAGATATTTGCGATCTCTGTCAATCCTTCCATGTTTAAGATAACATAGTTCAACTGTATACAAGTCATCTGTTTGTTTATGGCGATCTCTAAAAGCCTTTTTAGCACTGAGGTCTTTTAATTTGTTTTGTTGGTTAATTGTTATGCTCTGTTTTTCTTTGTTTTACCATTTTTAAAATCTAAACACCCATGAAGATCTGTGTTAGAACTGGTCTTCAGTAACCCATGCTTCTCGTAATGGAATCGGGTGGTCAGGTATCTTAATAGCGTAGATCGATGATCATGCTGTTGGTCACTGGATTGTCTGGTCCAGACTCCATTATTTACAGACTGCCACCATATAGCTCAAATATTGCTAAGTGTGGCATTAAACAACAAACCAACCAACCAATGAAAATTTTAAAATGGCAGCCTCCAGCCAGGAGTGTTGATAAATAACTAACTGAGAAACTTTTTTTTTACATTTAAAATTAGTTTTGATGTTCTCTGTCCAGTCACCTGTACAACTAAGTACCATTCTTCCATTGTGTTTAGGTGTCACCAACACTTTTTTGATGTTTCAGATCATGTGGGACTTACAGCAGAAATGTGGCATAGTGCATGCAGACTTGAGTGAGTTCAACATGTTGTGGTACAAAGATCAGGTGTATGTCATCGATGTCAGTCAGGCTGTGGACCAGGTTCACCCCAAGGCCATGGAGTTCCTGTACAGGGACTGCTGTAACGTCACAAGGGTAGGTATAACATGAACCCAGTTGAGGCAGAATAGATCACTGCTACCCTTGTCTTCACTGTTTTCAGTTTAGTGTGGTTAAGTCTACAGGTAATCTAGCCTACAAGATACTAGCCCACAATATTTTGTTCACCTGTGTAGGGTGTTTGTTCATGAGAATTTTAAAATCACAAAAATATCAATATCCGTTCATTTAAGAGTTTTATGTACTAAGTACTCATCTTACTATCTTACTACAATGTGTGAAGCCCATTTCTGGTGTCCCCCGCCGTGATGTTGCTGGAATATTGCTAAAAGCGGAGTAAAACCAAAATCAGTCAGTCAGTCAGTACTATCTTACTATCAACCAAGAGAGTGTCTTACATTCTTACAATTTTGTTTCCAGTTTTTCAATAGTTATGGCGTCCATGATGTGGCATCACCAGAGGAGTTGTTCAATGAAACCACAAGGCTCAGTATACAGGGAACTGGAGCTGACTTTCTTTGTCAGGTAAGCTGAATATTGTCTTCATCACCCCAGTATCACTGCAATATTGTATCCAAAGTGAGTTTTAGACCACTTTCAGTACTATTGTAGTTACGTCATGGCATATCTAACAGATGTGGGAGTAAATCTTGAATTGATGCAGGATGGTAACCACTTTGTTTGTTAATGTTATTACATATACTAAGTAGTAATGGTTAATGCTTAGGAATCTGGCCCATCTGCCATCTGCAAAACAGGTCTCTGGCCGTCCATGCTTGTACTGAAGTGAGAATCCAGTGTAATTTAGCTATGACGGTACTGACCTCGTAATGTCAGTATCACACACACATTTAGTTGAGGTTGTTAGCTTTGCTCTGTTCCATCGACAGGTTCAGCGCTATGACAAGGACAGGAAGGAATCCATGGTAACACATGCCAATCAATACAAGGAATATGCTTTCGACTTCCACTTTGATATCTCACAGAGGGAACGGGAGATGGGTTTACAGGACAGTGATGATGACGAGGACTGAACATACAGCACACAGTCCAGTTTGGTCTCACTGGAAATTGCTCACTGCCAAAGCCTTGCTGCCCCGCTGAATGCAAACTAATCTGAAGATGGTGTTTCTTTAGCTGCATTCTCGCTGTATCAGGGAGGAGGAAAGTATCACAGTCTTTCATGCCAAAATTGAAACTGTCGATGCAGGCATTTATTTACTGTTATCTGATTTTGTTCTTGAAAGACGACTATTTTGGACGAAACGAAAGCTCACCTTACAGTGACTCAGATTACAATATTGAAACTAGAATATAACATCTTACAATATTTCTGAGAGAAAAATGTTCATCACATATATAAGTTAATACATGAAGTTCAAATCAGGTAATGATAATACAAGAGTGGACAAGATATTTATTTGTGCTAAGGTATGTTATCTTGAACTTTGAACTAAACCCCATTCACGTCATCGCCTACACTGACCTGCATAAGTCATGTTCATGATCTTGCAATGAAATTGGTACAAAATTTAGATCATGGCATTGTTCACAAAATATACTTTTCGATGTGAATGTAGGAATGAAATAATGAATATATCTATGTGAGGCGAGTCTCAGAAGATGACGCTTAATCACAAGTAATAATTATGCCTCTAAAGCATTAACTTTAGGTCAAGTTGTTTCTTTCATAGATGAGCAAAATATCCAGTAACTATATTTCTTAGTTTTGTATCTGCTCCAACCTCATCCAGTGATAAGATGCTGTGCCTATATTCTGTGGCCGAGCCAACGGAATGTTTGATATTCATGAAGTGAACTTTATCTTGGTTTCAGAGCTAATGCATTCTTGACTGAATGAAAGAGAACGTATTCTTTAGTCCAGACTGATAGTGTATAGTAGTGTTTAAAACCTGTGAGAAAATAGGAAAGTTTCAAGACAATCTTTTCATACCAAAGCAAGCTATTTAGAAATGTTACCAATCATAATAAAAAAATGTGTCCTTTGCTTATTGGCCTATTGGGACAGTACATATCAAAAGAGTGCACAGTGCATATTGTACAATTACAAAGTGTGGAGGTGGTACATATTACATAGAGATGGTCATAGTGACAATGTGTAAATACTTATGCATAATATATATACAATTCCAATGAAAAGAAGCCTTGATGTGATTGCCTTCTTCAGTGTTGTTTTCAAAATGGTTTGTATGATAATCTCCCGATATAACAAGTATTTGTGAATGATCAGAACATTAGCTTTCATTTCCTTCTGAAAGTAATTAATGAAATATTTAGTTTATCTTTTATTCTCAAATTGATGTAGCTTGTCTGCATCCTTATGATTACCAGTATGTGGCTGTAGTGTTAATTTGTCTTTAGACAAAACGTTTTATCCTTCTATGTAGTATGGTGTTGTCAGACTGCTCTGTGATGTTATGGCTGAATGAAAGTGTTGGATGCGTGTTGTTGATTCTATTTATGAAATTGAGTATCATTTACATGGTACATTTTGACACAGGTGTTGGAATAAACATTTCAACAAGAAACATCTGTTGTGTTGTTTTCATACCAGATCCTGCATCATCTAGGCACAGAATTTTTAACTATTTTCCCCTTCAATTCTGCCCTTTACCATGCCAAGATCAGCAGGTTACAGTTCAAATTCCATTTTCATCCTACATTTTATTCATTATTCATCAATCAGTTCAGAACAATGTAAATCTGATTCAATGATTCCTATGATCACATTCAGTATTGACTCTAATGGCGTAAAGGTCAACTCTTGTTTGCTGTTTGGCTGAGATGGGCAGTATTTCTGCCATACTATACCAATACCACTCCCTGCCAGATGGAGTAATCAAGGCATGTGTACTGACCACCCTATCAATTTTAAGTTACTTGGGACCAATAATATCCAACAGGGGCCATGAATGACCCCTACTGTGTCACAATGAGTCACTGTTCCTGAAACCTATGATAATGTATTTGAAACACAATAAGCATTGATATGTTGCTAAAGTTTCCATCACCATGACCAGTTTTCCTGTGTTTCATCAAAGTGGTAACCTATTTTGTAATGCCTCTGAAACAGACATTGTATATGTGATCTATATAACAAGGTTACTAATGCCCACAGACATCAGATCTGATATTTAACATGGCCATTATGGTTCTCAAAATGTTCAGGTGAGCTTCAGAGCATTATGCGTTTACCTTTTTCAAATATCCTAAATGAAGATTACCTTTTCAATTGTCATGCTTCAACATGCATTCAACTGTTAACCTTCCTCTTTGAATGGACATGAGTTCAATGATTCTAGCGATGAGAAACCCTTCATACTTAATATTGGATAAGGGACATGACTAAATCGTGTCTCTCATCCCACCAACCATCAATAATTTTATGAATCATGTTTGTTTGTATTCCAATTTGGGTACAATTCCATTTCTGGTGTCCCCAGCCGTGATTTGCTGGATTATTGCTAAAAGCGGCGTAAAACCAAACTCAGTCAGTCAGTCGTTGTATTCCAATTTGGGTAAAGGGCGGGACGTCACGTACGTGAGGAGGGAGATTTGACACCTATCTCAGGACAGGAGTGTTTTGTGCGGTTATTTATCATTACAGGATATTTATATAGCGCACATATCCAGGCAACTAAGTGCATGCTCAAGGCGCTGGTATTTTTTCCCTCGATCACTGGATGTCAATCTCAACGGCACATCGTATTATCAATCTCAACTCCCTGGGGAGTATACAACTCTTGCAGCCTCTAGGTGCACCGAGTTATTGTGGCTTTCTCATCCTAACGTGGTTGTAAAACAAATGAATTTCCACACTTTTTCCACGGTACGAATTTTGACAGGGACATCAATGAATCCGCATTCTGCATAAAACGTAATTGATGTCATGATCTGTTAGGTGTGGGTTCGAATCGCAGGATGATTCCTCTTATTGCCATTTTGCTGCCAGAACCAAGTGAGATGCTCCCATGCACTATCCTTGGAGTTTCCCGAATACACGATTAGACACGAAACTTTGTTAACGTTCCAAATGATCAACCACGCAGTAGCCAGTTAACAATCATTAGCGAATTCACACGACCTAAAAGGGTTCTCACAGACTAAAGTTGGGTACTTATAGTATTTTTTACACCGTTTTTTCAGCAATCTGCCATATCTGTTTCCTACCACTAAAGTAGCTCGTTGAATTGTAAAAGATTGAGGGATGCAAGCCGTGTGTCAGTATGCGGCGTCAAATCCGTGGCTGTCTGCCCCAGTATAATAATTGTTAAAGTTTTGCTAATTTGTAAACTTAACAACGATGACTGTATGAGAAAGTATAGTTTTGAACCGCTTTTAGTAATCCCCCAGCAGCACCACGGAAGCGACACTGATATTACCTCCAGACTGTATCGGGACGGGTACTTTGCTTACAGCCAGAGTAGCCCCTCGAACTGCTATGTAGTATCTATTTGGTTAGAATGTTTCGGTACATGATACACTCGGAGTTGCGATGAAGAGATTATTCAGTCAGTGAACTGAGCCCCTATTACTTAAAGATCACATGCAACGTAAAACACAACTTTGCAGATTCTGATACCTTTCGGTATGGACTTACCGAAACAAATCGTCAAAAATGCAAATTCAACTTATAAAGTTGAAAAATAACGCGATGAAAAAAAACGCGCGAAATCGGAGTTCAAACGTTTCACTAATTTTCCCCAGACTTTTCTGGGGAAAACGGGTTTCAACAGCTGGGCTGCGCTTATAGCACGTGCGCAGTGAAGTAGGTTCGCGCAGCTTGGAAGCGGTTGTCCGGTGAATACTCGGTGAAGGCTTTGGTGTGAGCTATTTTTCTAATGTTTTGTTGATATCTCACAGGCGCGAGCTTTTTATATGTTATGACAGTAAATTAACTGTTTATATAATTTCATTTGTCTATTTCACCACACGTTCTTCTTACCGAGTCACTTTCTCAGTTCGATACTTAAAAGCAATGCCATTATTTAGCGTTGACAGAATTTCCAACTGTGATATAGATATGTCGTTGTCACAGACAAAACTCAGTGTCTTGTTTTATTGACACCTGTGTGTCTGCCTGCCTGCCTGTCTGCTAATGACAATATTCAATACACAGCTGCTATCACTGACCACATGCAATTTGAACTTAACACCAATCAGGCCTATACACCATAAACAAAATGCATTGATTTATGGCCCGAGTTCGGTCTCTGTCACATTATGTAATTACACAGACAGGCAGGTGTGATACTTGAACACATGACATGTTATGATGTCTGTTGATTGCAAAATGTTATACACAAAAAATGAGCATGTATTTACAAAACCCAACATCTCTATATATACACACACAATCAGCCGTGAGGGCATCTGCAAACGAACCAGCCGTTACACTTGAGTGCACACCCACCCGCTCTGACTGGGTTCGGTATCCCGGCTGCTTCGTTTCTTGGGAAGTAAACCGAAGTACACAATATTGCACTTTTGATTTGCGATTGTACGCTTATAATTTTGTTTATATGTTTTTTCATAACCAGCAATGTATATTATATGTCATGAATAAGTGATAATTGTGTTTTAATTATGTTTGATTTTTGGTTGCATGTGACCTTTAACTTGATATCCCTACCCACATGACATGCATGTGCTCCCTGTACTTGACCCTCAGACACCTCGATCCACATGACATGCATGTGCTCTCTGAACTTATCGCTCAGGCACCCCGGTCACCATGACATGTATGTGCTCCCTGTACTTGACCCTCAGACACCCTGATCCACATGACATGCATGTGCTCTCTGTGGTTGTGGATTAAGATATCTGTGTGTCAATCAGGTGTTTTATCTCTTCTTGACACAATTCTGCATTTTGCTATTCAGTTCCTGGACTCCCAGTGACAAATCTCCACCGTGTGTGTCCAGTGAGAAACGTGCTATGTTTCAAAATTTATTTAAAGAAATGTAAGACCACTTCGTTCATATCTTAACATTTTCAGGACTGGACTGAAGTTGACAAGCTGTTCTTTGTGTGGAGAGCAAAAAGAAGGACTGTGTTTCGATATCTTGTCAATGTAGGATCTTTACATCAAAATTACATGCCTACATATGCGATAGATGTCGACCACTATTTTCTTTTGAGATATGTAGCAATAATACAAACTGCCACAGCAATGCTGGTTGAATGAATACATATCTACTTTAAGTTTTGTATAAAAACACACACGTGCACGACCAATGGACATATTTATCATGGAGATCATGCAACAGTGTCTTGGGTGTGAGCCAGTGTTTAAACCTTCCATCAAGTGTCTGCGTGTGTGAATGGTAGATGAGTACAGAGTAAGTACCTCGTCACACCGATCATGCATATGCTTCATAACTGGGAATGTTCGTACGTAAGCCTAAAATCCGGTTTTATTATCTATAGGACAGAATATTTCATCGAAACGTTTTGGGATCTTACGGCTGGTATTCTTTCACCTTCTATCTCAGAGGTCATAATGAGCTCTTCAACGTAGCGTTTAGCAGAAAATGTAATTTTTTTTATCTCATTCTATAGGATGCTGACACGAGCGAGTTTTTTCTGATCTCGATGTGGAACATGTAAGTGAGTCACGGTAATAGGGTTATGTTGAAATACGGTAATAGGGTTACTTGGCACGAGAACAGTAACTCATAATGAAAACTAATATCTCAGTAGAACATGACCATCTTAAAGATTTATTGCATTAACTTAACAGTTACTAAATAGAAAATGACAGATGTACATCATATTACATAGTGTTTAAGGTTTAACATTCTTCATTCTTTCAGATCCAAACTGTATTTGTGGTAGTCTTGTGTTGTAACGGGCAATACATCCTGGTGAGCCCTGAGAGTCGGGTTCCTGGACGATAAAATGGAATTTCCGCCAACAAATAGAGTTCACCAGAACTTGAGGGAAATTGTAAATATAAACATATATAATGGGTCAGTAAAATTTGCCACTGAATTTGATTCCATAATCTTAATTTATCTTTATTTGCACTAAAGACGCCACAGGCCTATAGTACATGTATACTGACTATATTGTTATTAGGCAGTATAGAGTACATTTCTCCTGTGTAGAAACACATGGTACAGAAACACTGACAACTTTTCCAGGTGTTCCTTGCTAGAATAGGTTAATAGAGATATACATTTATAAATATTGTGATGTACAGTGTAATATTTCTTAATATACTTATTTCTTACATTGAGGTAGGCTGGACATACACAAAGAAAATGATATTCATCTTAAATTAGATTCAAATCACACATTTTACATATTCTATCGTCTGTTTTTATTCCAATATATCTACCTGTTTCTATTAACAAATCATGGGAGGAGCAACGAAATTTTGTGAGCGTGATTCTATATTTCCATACATTCAAAGATGATAAATAGGTTTCATTGTATATAGATTGCTTAAACATTCTGTAATAGAAACATTTATTTGATACAGATAATTGGTCAAGCCAAGTCTGGAGATATATATCTCGTAACC